TACGTTTGATTTGGCTTGTCCACATAAACAGGTTTCTTCTTTCGTGGGGTTGGTTTAGGCTTTGAGAAAACCATGGAGGATAAGGGTTCCGGCTGAATTTTAGTCCCCCTAGGCTTGTGCCATTGTTGAGGCAAACTTGTGCAGGGTAGCTCTGCAGGAACCTGATTCAGTCCTAGACGTTTATAATGCTGGAGAGTATATATCAATCACGTTGTATGAGCACAGGTTCCGGAGAGTCTATTAGTAAACAATTTGTTTATCAATTTTATTTACTTACGGTATGAGATAAAGCGCAATATAAATTAGCCACAGAGTTAAGAAAAGAAAATACATAACTCACCCTGCCTGACAAGAGCAATGACTATCGTCAATGACGCCCACATCATAGTTGATCGTCATATTTATCTTGTGAGGATCCTCGCTCTTTTTCATCGACCGGTAACATTTTGCCGTAATTTCTACGCTTTTATCAGTGGAAGTATACAGTTTTACTGCATGGATATAACCATTAATGAAAAAATTATACCCTCTCTCCTTTGCACGGGATGTAACGACAACATTTTTAAAATAATCCAAAGATATACTCGGCGGAATTATTCGTAGTGCGTTTGTATCCGCCGCCATTTTTCACTCTCTATGTCCGAGGCTGTTTCGTTGCTATGACGTATCTATGGTGGGCGGAGCTAACCCTGCGGCTGTGGAACTGTGTAAAATACACAGTTCCATAGAAGTTCGTGACCTTATATTTTGACCAATGATATACGTCGAAAAATAAGCTCCGCCCACCATTTCGTACCTCGGACAAGACTCGGACATTACCGCCATGTTGTGTACGATTAGTACAGTGATGTTTACATTGTTTTCAATGTGAAAATAGATCTATTCTGAAGAGAAAATGGTGAAACATTGTTCATTTGGAACGTGCAATTCGGACAGTCGATATAAAGACAAGCTTAACGGTGCCAAGTTTTTACCGTTTCCTAAACCAAAGACGAACTTGCACAAGTGTATGCGATGGATTGCGTTATGTCATAGGCCGCAGCATCAGCTAAATGTCAACAAAATTACAAAAGATACGTATATATGTACTAAGGTAAGGGTATTTTTTGTTCTTTATATGTTTCGAGGCTTTTTATTATCTTATCGAGATTTTGTAAACCAGCGGAGAAAGCGAACAGGCACACTAGGGATTAATCCGAGATTCCTCTGACTCGAACCCCCTTGTGACTTGTGCGGAGTAGATCTAGTCAGTGTCACAATATAAAAGCGGGGGTTAGAGTCAGAGGAATCTCGCATTAACTAGGCTATGGATGAAAATAAAAGTATCGGCCCGTTGGTTGTAGGCTAGCTGAGCTTGTTATAGATGTGGTACATGTGATGAACCGGTCACATGGGACCACAGAGCCATAATTTGTGATACCTGTAATCAATGGTTCCACATACACTGCCAAGACATCCATAGTGGGACATACAGCATCCTGATGAGTGAAGGGGGGTCTGTACGGTGGGATTGCATGATCTGTGGAAATCCAAACTATAGTGACATTTGCTATGGAATCACAACACTAGAGACATCAAACCAGTTCTCACTCCTAGCAAATATAGATGATTCAACCGGAGATGTGCAACCTATACCTATCCCTATTCATGCATCTACACCAGAACGAAAGCCAAAACAAGGTAAAGGAAAACCTTTTATACCGCTAAGGGTACTGAACATAAACTGTCAATCTATCAGAAACAAACAACATCAAATTGAGAATGTTATAGACAGTCTAAAACCGGACGTAATATTAGCAACGGAGACTTGGCTAGATGCGAGCATTGACAACAACCACTTTTTCCCTACAAGTTACAACATATATAGAAAAGATAGAAGAAACCGTGTAGGTGGAGGTGTGCTCATTGCCATCCATAATAAATTCCTGAGCTCAGAGATGCAGGAATTAGATACAGAGGGGGAGATTGTTTGGGCCCGTATACAGCAATGTGGACAGAAAGATCTCAGAATTTGTGCGTTCTATAATCCTAAAGCATCCGAAGACCTCACAGCTTTTCAGTACAGCGTGCATGTAGCCCAAACTCACAGATCTTGATTGGAGGAGATTTCAACTTGCCAGGATGGAATTGGAAAGATAAATTTCTAAAACCAGGAACCCAGCATACGAAAAATCACTACCATTTAGCAGATATATTGGATGACAACGGATTGACACAAATGGTGGAGATACCAACCAGAAATGAGGCAATATTGGACCTACTCATAACAAATATTCCAAACAGGGTTCAACAGATAGAAACAACACCAGGTATATCTGATCATGATATAGTATTCACGGAAATAGATACTGATCTGAAAAGAAATTCACAGAAACCCAGAAAGATAGCACTCTACAAAAAAGCCAATTGGACAAGCATGGCAGAAGAAATGAAGACACTCTATGAAAACATCAAAGGAGAAGACGAAAAAGGTGGGGATATAGAGCACCTATGGAAAATGTTTCGATCAGGATTAGAAAAAGCAATAGATACGCATATTCCAACAAAGTTAGCAAGACAGAAAGATAAATTACCATGGATAACGGGAGACATCAGGAAACTCATTAAGAGACGTGACAGGGCTTACAAGCGGAAAAAGAAAACACATCATAGAGATGACATCAAGAAGTATAAGGAATTGAAACACCAAACCCAGAAACAGTCCAGGAGAGCATATTGGTCATACATCGAGAATATACTCACCCCAGAGGATAAAGACAGCACAGCCAAAGGGGTATCAAAGAAATTCTGGACGTACATCAAGCATAAGAAGAGTGATAAAAGTGGAGTGTCACCATTAAAACAGAATGGCAAACTTGAAACTGATCCTGCAGAGATGGCTAAGATCCTAAATGAACAATTCAAGTCTGTATTCTCAGATTCAGAAAATGTAAGTAAGGAAGACTTCAAAAGAGGCCAATTCATGGAAGGTGAACCATCAGATTACCCAGAAGCAAGCGATATTAACATCACTGAGGCAGGAGTCCTTAAATTACTTAAAAATCTAAACGCACATAAAGCTGGAGGCCCTGATAACATCAAACCCACCATCCTGAAGGAACTAGCAAATGAGCTGGCACCAATACTGACACTAATATTTAGAAAATCCTTGATAGAGGGAGAAATACCATCTGACTGGAGAAAGGCCCGCATAACACCAGCATTTAAAAAGGGAAAGAAATACACACCTGAGAACTATAGACCAATATCCCTAACATGCGTGTGTTGTAAAATCATGGAACACATTGTAACAAGTCATATTATGAATCATGCAGAGAAAAATAACATCTTATATCCACTCCAGCATGGATTCAGAAGTAGAAGATCATGCGAAACCCAACTGTTGGAATGTGTGGATGATCTATCTAGGAATTTGGAAAATGGAAAGCAAACAGATCTTCTGATCCTCGATTTTTCTAAAGCTTTCGATAAAGTTTCCCACAGTCTACTTCTCCATAAACTACATCATTATGGTATCACAGGAAACACACATCGTTGGATTGAAGCTTCCCTTTCAAATAGGAGCCAAGTAGTAGTGGTCGAAGGGGAAGAGTCCGATGTCGGAAGAGTTAAGTCTGGAGTGCCCCAGGGATCAGTACTAGGACCCAGCCTTTTCCTATTCTACATCAACGACTTACCGGACCACCTAACCTCCACAGTACGGCTCTTCGCTGACGATACCATAGTGTACTTAACTATTTCAACGAATTCAGATTGCCATATCCTTCAAGAAGACCTAAATAAACTTGCTCTTTGGGAAACAAAATGGAAAATGAAATTTCACCCAGATAAATGTACAGTTCTCACAGTTTCGAAAAAGAAAAATCCTATTATCTTCAACTACACCCTTCATAACCATCTACTTGCCCATGAAGAGTCCACAAAATACCTAGGCTGTACTATAACATCTGATCTAAATTGGGGACTACATATTTCAAATATCTGTAAGAAGGCAAATAGAACATTAGGATTCCTACAAAGAAATCTTCACATATCCTCAAGGACGATTAAAGAAAGAGCTTATACATCTTTGGTTAGACCGCAGCTAGAATATGCTTCAACAGTGTGGGATCCATACCAACAGGGCCAGATAGATATGTTAGAAAAGGTGCAAAGAAGAGCGGCAAGATACATAATGGGCAATTATAGAAATAGATCCAGCGTAGCAGATATGATCAAACATCTAGAATGGAAAAACTTAAAAAGTAGAAGGAAAACAGCAAGATTAATAATGATGTATAAGATAGTAAATAACAAAGTAGCCATCAGCCCAGAGGACCACTTCACTAAGCCTGTAAGAAGATCACGGCATACAAAACAACACTCATTTGCAATACCATCAGCAACCAAGGACTGCAGGAAGTGGTCATATTTCTGTAGAACGATCAAAGAATGGAACAGCTTGCCAGAGGACACTGCGGCAGCAAAATCACTTGAGATATTTAAATCTCAAGTGATTAAGACAACTTAAATCCAAACTTCCTTTTATCCAGTTTTTATTTAAAATCAAAAAAAAAAAACAAACAAAAATTTCTTTTTAACATGCGCACACCCAAACTGGCATAATCTTCAACTTGATGAAGGAGGCCAGACAGTGGAAGAAGAAGAAGATCTTTTATATGATTTATTTTCGATAGTTATTGGGTACTATCAACATAATATTAATGATGAATGAAATTTCCATTATTAATTCACCATACATGTATCATTCATCGAAACAGAGAATGGCTCGACAGGAAAGTACAGTACTTACTACTTTACAAGTAATATTTTTGTTCGTAGCATTTCTTCAATATTGATGGGCCAACAGCAGAGTACCCAGACCCATGTGATGCTAAAACAGGGGAATTTAAGAAGACGAGACATCCTCCATCCCGTCAGCCTCTCAGTGCATTTAGTGGAAATGCTACTTCCAGTAATGTACTGTCATTTAGGTAATATACTGATACTATAATTATATGGAATCCGGTAAAATATTATTAGCTATGTAGACACTTTGAGGGGTAAATGCAGAAATGACAAATTTATCTTGACAAAGAATTTTTCATCAAGTTCATTTTCTTAGAGCAAAATATTTGGTAATAATTATTTACATCCATTTAATGCTTATGTGATATATCATATAGTGAGCACTTTGTGTGTTTATATCAACTATGATCTGGGTAGTATGGCACATGGAGGGGGATATTTAATGTTTGAGGGTATAGGTCACATGGAGGGGGCATATTACCAACATGATATAGACAGCATAGTATTGATTATTACAGTATTCTTCTCAAACAATGAAAACTTAAAAACTTTATGATTAGAGGCAGTTAAAGTAAATTGAATATAGTTTGATGTTTAACGTCTCACTCAAGAATTTTTCACTCATTTGGAGACACCAATACTTGTAGGTGGAGAACTGCAAACTTTGACCAATAAAAACATTCAGGGCCATTGAGCAGTGAGGGATCTTTTTCGTGTCAGCACCTACTGCAACACTAGACCTCAAGTTATAAATATGGTCTCATCTGAAGGTCTTCACATCCCACAGTGGGATTCAGACCTATGATGAAAAGATCAAGTCCTTATTTCGTGACTCTACATGTTACATGTTATTACCCTCAATGTTTGTATGTAATGTTTATTGAAAGACTTAGTTTTGAATACATTTTTTTGTAGTGAGGTCACTGAAGATATGGAGACCTGTACAACGGAGAGTGATGTTTATCATCAGGAAACTGCCTGTCAAACAAGTGAACAGTGTAGGTTTGATTTCTCGTAATTTCTAATTATATAATATTTCAGCCTTGTTTATCAGAAACTTACTAGTAATCATTCTGATAGGTCAGGGGAAAACCAGTGTATATTTGTAGTATTAATTTATTTCGCTATGATAAATAAACACAAATATTTTACATATACTTTGACTATGTCAGATTCTCGGCATTTTAACATATTTGGCACCATGCTGCAAGTAGAAATTTGAAAGCATCTCAAACATATCTTTTTGAAAATTTAAATCCTCTTTTACATTTTGAACAAAAATATCCTTTCTAGTAAACACTATGAATTCACAGAAAGTTGCCCCAGACACCATCATCTGACCCTGTATTTGAAAAAAATAATCATGGTTCTTCTGAAGTTCAAATTTTCCGTCATTTTCCTGAAGACAGAATTTTGGAATCTGTTGAACTGCTTCGGAGATGGTCATATCGCGTGCAGTAAATGGGCACTTCACTTCTAGGACACCTGTTTCCCCCTTAAAACACACCTTGCCATCTGGTGAGGCAGCTAGATAAGGAAAATCAGGGTTTATTACCAACCCACAATCATGTATGTGCCTCTCCTGGAAGGATTCCAAATATTTTTTCTTAGCTGCATTTTCATTCCCTTGACCGTAACGTGTGGCACTAGTAGAAAAGTTTTTATTTGAGGCTGGAAAAATATCCTTAAGAAATGCATCATTTACAGCCTTTTTCCGTTTGCAGATTTTTCCAAACTGTGAGGCTGTTAGTCGTTCCCTTCTTTCTTTGAACCATGTTTCACAATTAGCTTGACCAACAGTCTCTTTTTCAATTTTCTCTGCATCTTGCATAGTGGTAGGAAACATTTTCACTATATTTTCGTATTTTTCATTCACCAAAATATTTTTTACAATTTTTGGAAATTTAGTCTCCCCACATTTCCCTGCATCAACTTGAGGATGTTCTTTAAAATGCTGAAACTAGTAAAAAAAAATTTATATATTTTCATATTTATGTATTTAAAGAAAATCTTTGTGAATACACATGTAATAAAATCTAATTGTAAAGGTTTATAATTTTCTTCCAGTATTTTCATCGATGGAGATGTTGGCAATGGCAACCAGAATACATCAATTGGAGAAGGAAAATAAAGAACTACGTGAAGCTTTAGAAGCACTGCAGTCTAATAACCAAAGCCTTCGAAGCATCCACACACAAACTGATATGCATGTTCAACCTTTTAATGTGGAGTTTGTGTCTAACTCAAAAATCAAAAAATTATTTCAGTATTACACAGGAATAACACATTTACGTTTTTTGATGTTGATATCTTTTTTGTTTCCGAATGGAACTTTTTCAGATGCTAACCCTGTTACTTATGATTCAAATAGGGAAGAGGTAAAGAGACTGCCTGTAGATGAACAAGTATTTTTGTTCCTATGCAGAATCAGGAAAGGCCTTCAAGACTTGGCTTGTAGATTTAATTTGAAGATTCAAAGTGTGTCAACCATACTAAAAGGCATCTCTCAGTATATATATTTACGTTTAGGATCTCTCAGTTACTGGCCACATAGAGATATAATTATTCAGAACATGCCATCTACATATAAACAAGAATTTCCAAACTGTGTTGCTATTATTGATTGTACAGAAATCAAGATACAAAGGCCCTCATCTCTATTATGCCAAAGTCAATGTTATAGTGAATATAAATCAGCAACCACCTTAAAATCCCTTGTGGTGTGTGACCCAAGAGGTTCTATTTTATTTGTGTCTGATTTATACTGTGGATCTATTTCAGACAATGAAATTTGTACCAAAAGTGGATTTTTTCAGTATTTAGAATCTCGGATGAGGCAAAAATATTTACATCCAGGGGACTCGATAATGGCAGATAAGGGGTTCAAAATAGAGGATCAGCTGGCTGAACTGGGACTTAGACTGAATATCCCTCCGTTTGCTTCTATTTAAAGCCCATTCCATGAGTGCAGCTGATGTGACTTTAACAAGAAAAATTGCTGCTCACAGAATACATGTTGAAAGAGCCATTAATCAAATCAAGTGCTTTAAATTGTTCAGCAAAAAAATTCCTGTCTCTTTGTTGCATTGTGTAAATGAATATTGGGTGTGTGCATCTCTTCTCACAAATTTTCAGGACATATTAGTGAAACTATCATAGTGTTCAACATTTGTACATCAGTTTACTTATATTTACACCATACCGGTATTTCTATGATCGATATCACTCGACATTGGATATTTTTCACATCCCACTGCTGTGATGAAAACATTAGTATTGATGTTTAAAATATGTGATAAAAAGAATCTCCCATGATTTGTGGTTGGGTGTGATTTTTTTATCCCCTCGTTATGACTCGGAGAAAAGAACACACAACTTTTTGAATAAAAAATCATATCCAATTACAAAATATGAGAAATCCTTTTTATATATATATATGCAATGTTAATATAAATTTAAAATGTGAAAGTTGAATTTACTTTTTTCAAAAAATAAAGATATTTATTTTGAGAATCATTGAATTAAAGTCTGTTGATTTCATGTCCTCCAAAAGCCATCTTACATGATATTTAAGCATGGATCCTGTTTGTATTTTCCCACAAATGGATGGCTCTAATTCAACATCCTCCTGTAGCAAATATGACAGTGGCAGTGAAGGGTCAACCTTAAGCTTTTTGATCTCTTCTGGAAACACATCAGGAATTCTACACAAAGAAAAAAAAGACTAAATTCAAGACTGACAAGAGTTGAAAAACCATAACATCATGCCCTGTTATAAATAGTTGATTTATATAATAGCTTTGTGAAATTGAATATTTACATTTATTAATAATGTATGATTACGTTTGATTTGGCTTGTCCACATAAACAGGTTTCTTCTTTCGTGGGGTTGGTTTAGGCTTTGAGAAAACCATGGAGGATAAGGGTTCCGGCTGAATTTTAGTCCCCCTAGGCTTGTGCCATTGTTGAGGCAAACTTGTGCAGGGTAGCTCTGCAGGAACCTGATTCAGTCCTAGACGTTTATAATGCTGGAGAGTATATATCAATCACGTTGTATGAGCACAGGTTCCGGAGAGTCTATTAGTAAACAATTTGTTTATCAATTTTATTTACTTACGGTATGAGATAAAGCGCAATATAAATTAGCCACAGAGTTAAGAAAAGAAAATACATAACTCACCCTGCCTGACAAGAGCAATGACTATCGTCAATGACGCCCACATCATAGTTGATCGTCATATTTATCTTGTGAGGATCCTCGCTCTTTTTCATCGACCGGTAACATTTTGCCGTAATTTCTACGCTTTTATCAGTGGAAGTATACAGTTTTACTGCATGGATATAACCATTAATGAAAAAATTATACCCTCTCTCCTTTACACGGGATGTAACGACAACATTTTTAAAATAATCCAAAGATATACTCGGCGGAATTATTCGTAGTGCGTTTGTATCCGCCGCCATTTTTCACTCTCTATGTCCGAGGCTGTTTCGTTGCTATGACGTATCTATGGTGGGCGGAGCTAACCCTGCGGCTGTGGAACTGTGTATTATAATAAAATGAAAACATTTACAATGAAAGGTTTCTGAATTAGATATCTTGTGATTGTTTTGGGATAACATACACAGTCAAACCCTGTGTTATTCTGTGTCCAATGTGTCCAACAAAAATTCTAATAAAGTGTTTAATTAATTTATTTAAGTAACAAATAGCTAGATTAATAGGATTTAGATTTTTTTTTAGATCAATATACCTTCATCACCTGCATACGGAGTATTTATATCTCAGTTGATTCGAAACGCAAGAGCATGCTCTACGTATGAACAATTTCTTAAACGAGGTAAATTATTGACAAGCAAGTTGATGAAACAAGAATATCAACAGTCTCGTTTAAAGTCATCATTTCGTAAATTCTATGGTCGATACAATGACCTTGTCAGCAAATACAATTTATCATTGAATGAAATGCTGACTGACGTTTTTCATACCAATTGTTAGTCCATTATTTATACACTGAATTGACTACGGATTTTTTTCCGTTATTTCCTGATTATGACAATGAGCACACGGCGGGTGTGACCGGTCAGCAGGGGATGCTCACTCCTCCATGGCACCTGATCCCACCTCTGATGTTTCGGAGGTCCGTGTTTGCTCTGCTCTTATTTTGTATATTTGTTTAATGGACGTTGAGATTGAATACTGTTCGTTATTTCCATATCCTTATCAAAGGGCATATTATTCTAGTCCAGTATAATCAGAACTCCACAGCGTGCAGTGCATGATAGCTAGAGGGTCAAATTGATAAAAATGTACATAATAATCAGTGGCGTAGCATCGTTTTTGAAAGTGGGGGGGGCAGACAGATAATTTTTTTTTTACTTACCTGAAAAATTTGACAAGCAAAAAAAAAAAGGTAAAAGTTGCCCAGTCGAAAATCCTAGTTCGTGGGGGGCAGGGGGGGGGGGGGTAGGTAGGTACATAAACTCTCTCAGTGTCATCTACTTTTAGTACCAATTCTTATACTACTAAAAGTGGGGGGACCAACCAGGCTTTCAATTAACATTTCCTATAGTGCAAGTTAGGTTGGGAAAAAAAGTGGGGGGCCACCCCTCCCCACCCCACCCCCCCCCCACCCCCCACCCCCCCCCCCCCGTGCCACCCCCAATACTACGCCCCTGATAATATTTTTTCTTTCTTCATTCTCACAAATATACTGTAGTTTTATCAATATTTGTTGAGCACCAATTTTTGAGGTATTTGTTGTTGAGCAGATCCAAGAAATTCAATGTTCTTTGAATTGAGAAATACAATATATATTTGTATAGGCAATGATTTAGTCCTCAAAATTGTTTATCCTTGAAAACGTCTTTTTTACAAAATCCTTAATGGCAACAAAAGTTGATGAAACCACAGGAAATAGTATTTTCATGAGATATTGAAAGTTTCTTCTAATGTTGGGTCTTTATTAAGCAGACGTTTCAAAATTGTTTATGAATTATAATTTATATTTTATACCTTTAATATTGATAATATTATTATTTAAATTATTTTACACAAACATATGAACACGAGAAAGTGAACCTGAAGCAAACTATATATTCTTATGATTTTGAAAAAAAGTCTCTCACAAATAAGTCATTATTTAAAATACAATGTTTTACATGTATTTGATTTTCTTCACTTTACCCCTGCCCCACTCAGCCACAAAGAGGTTGTCTCTGGTGTCTACACATAAACCAAATGGAAGCTGTAGACCACAGTTATCAATGTCACGGAGGAACTGTCCGTCCTGATCTAGGATGTGGATACAGTGGTTATCATAGTCTGCTGTCAGGATCTGACTCTGGCTGTCTGTTGCGATGCTGTATGGAGAGAATGATCCCTTGGACTTGGTAGTAGAGGGATTACCAGTGTATCTAAATCGGAGTTTTCCTGCCTGATTAACCACCACTACTGCACAGGCTCCATTGTCAGCTACACAGATGTCCAGGTTCCTGTTCTCACTGATGTATTTAGTGTAACCAGATGAATACAGAGGTTTACCTTCACTATCAAACTGAATGTTTTGTTTCTCTGTGAAGTCAGAGTAACGAACAACTTTTGATTGTTTTCTATCATCACTGTCCATGGTAACCAGGAGGTCACCAGAGGAGGTACTACAGACCTTGTAAGGTATCCACCCCTGTAGTCTGATCACTTCCTGTATCTGGTCATTCTTCATTATATTTACAGTTCTTGTATCAGAGTCAGTATAAACTAGATCTCCGCTCATTGTCACTGCTATGTCATGTGGCCACTTCCCAGACTTGGTTTGGATTGACTTCAGTAGTTTGCCCTGGAGGTTGTAGAGTTTCATGATTTTGTCTCCTCCACGTGTCCAGAATTCTTCATCACTGAGACAGGTAACACTCCTTAATGAGTCTTTATACCCAGTGTCTATGGTGGTGATGATCTCTGGTTCATCAAGCAGTGGTTTGACTGGAGGACAGGATACAGCTTCTGGTGTCTTCATTGTGTAGCCATGTTCATCTGTTGTAATGGATAATGCTGATAGAGAACCAAACATTTGATGGAGCTGTTCTGTGTTGATTGGATGAGGTGAAAAACTTGGTAAAGAAACGTTGACTTTAGGAGGTAAACTTCTGAATTCTGCATTCCTGGATTTGTATGCAGAGGTTAGGGAGACATCATTGGAATCCAGTAATTTCTTTAGATAAAGTATGCACTGTTTAACATCAGAAGTAATCTGTTTGATTTCATGTTCCTGTTTATTTAGAGCTGCCAGGTGTTTAGATTTCATTTCATCAATTTCAGATTTCTGTTTGTTGACAATGATGTTAATTTCTCTGTGCCAGTCTTCTCCTTGTTTGGTGACAGCTGTTGTCAGTTTCTCATAATGTTTTTCCAAATTAAGTTTTTCAGAGTTTAAATCTGATGCAATTTCTTCATATGTAGGACATATTCTTTTTTCTAGTTCTTTCAAATCCTTCTTTAAAATTTCTTTCATAAAGCTGGGATTCTGTAAGACATCTGTTAATTTATGCCCATGATGTTTCCCAGAGGAGATGCAGGTAGAACAGACAGGAATGTCACATTTCTCACAGTAGAGTTCACAATGTTTCTGGGTGTGGTTTGGACATTTTGGGTAGTTAACGTTAGGAATAGCGGTTCTGTGTTTGTATGGTACAACATTGTGTCTTATGGATGAATCAGAGAGATGTTCCCCTACGCAGGCCTTACACAAGTTAATCTGACAAAGTTCACAGTGACTCTGTAATGCAGCTGTTTGACACAGGTCACAGAGGAGGAGAACTTGAGCTTTGTCTAGGGGGTCCATCAATGGGGTTTCGTTAAAAAGAAAATCAGATGACCCTGTATAAAGTAAAAAAGAGGCATGGGTCACTGACTTCAGGAATATGACACAATTTTAAATAAATACAATATAAGAGTTATGTTTTGTTAGTGAAATTGTAAGACCTTTAGAAATAACAGTTAAAATTTTTTTGTAGTTTAAAAATGCCGTGTAAACTTTTCTTCTAGATCCGTTTGAACAAAAAATTTACATTGTGAAAGTAAATGTTAACATTGAATATCAGTCAAAGCAATTTACATAGTAAGATCTAATGTGATCCTCATGCATTTTATCTCATGTATTATACATGTATATGTACTAGACTTGAGATCATTAATGACATCTGGAAATGTCTTGCAATATCATGTTAAATGTTCTGAATATGATCTTTTCCTACCTCTAAATCCAATATGACCTTACGATAAGCCCGTACACAATTTACTTCCTTGTCTTCATTCTAAACATTTACCTGTAACTAGGTCTTGTGATTTAAATACCTGAGATGCCTATGCCTGTGTAGAAAGGATTACTTTCAAACAGATTAAAATTAAGGGGTGGGATTTCCCAGATAGCATGAGCTAGGACATTGGCCCAACGTTGACCAAACAATGTCGGTTATGTTGGGCCAATGTTGGCAGTTTTACGTTGGCCCAATGTCTTACTGCTCATTGGCGCGCCGTTGGCCCAACATGTTGGGCCAATGTTGGTACAATACTGTTTGTTTATTTGTCAACGTTGGAACAACGTTATTCCAACATACCAACGCCAACGCAATATTTTTTTAACGTTGGCCCAATGTTGGACCTCAGTTCAAAATATTATCATGAATTTTAAAAATGCTTTCAAATTGGTAAATTTTGTTGAAATATATACGTTGGTACAACGCTATTCCAACGTACCGATGCTAACCAAATATTTTGTAACGTTGGCCGTACATTGGACCTCAGTTCAAAATATAGTTATTACGTTGGTTCAACGTTGATACAAAGCTGATTCTTGAAATATCAATGACACAATTATTCCTCAATACAAATGTCTTACAAAATAAATTAAATTCTGTAATTTTTATTTCCCATTTTATACAATAAAATTAATTTAACTGTGTTTGGTCAAATACTTTTTTCCTCCTAAAATGTATCACAATATATTCTTTGCCACTTTCACTTTCATTAAAGTATTCCATGGAATGTAACTAAAAGAAAGAAGAGGTAGAAAGTTCAATGTTTCTCAAGTACACTCCACATCACTATGTCCACTACTTAATATCACTTTGATATAAAAGTCTTCAAGTTCTAACTGTAGAGTTTTGAAAGGACATATTTGCATCACTTATCACTTTTTCTGTTGTTTATCTGTTCTTAGAATCCATGTTTCCCACACATATAAATCAGTCCCTTCCATATACAGAAATGCCACATCAATAGTCTCAGAGTGAATAGGGTTTTTCCATCCCGGCAATTCCTGCAAACGTTAAGATTGTCATCAATTAAAATAGTATTTTCAAATGTTCATCAGCATCACACATATTTTTAAAGGAATCCTTAAAATTGAATTTCACATAAGTAATTATTAATAACAAATACAAAATAGTTACTTACATTTCATTGGTTAATATTCTTGCGTTCACTTACAGATACGGACATATCTGCTCTGTTCAAGCCCGCCAATTCCTATAAAAGTTAAGGTCGTAATCAAT